TTGTAAATGAGATGATCTTGTTTGTTTGTTTTTGTTTTTTGTTATTTTTAGAAAGGGGGAGAGAGAAAGGGAGAGAGAGAAAGAGAGGAACATTGATTGGTTGCCTTCTCATATGCACCCCATTCCAGGGATTGAGACAGTAACCTGGGTATGTGCCCTGACCAGGAATCAAACTTGTGACCTTTCTGTTGACAATATTCCAACCAACTGAGCCATCTAGGCCAGGGCAAGATTGTTTTCTTCACTTCTCTTTCTGATATTTGGTTGTTAGTGTAGAAACACAACAGATTTTGTATATTGATTTTATAGCCTGTAACTTTACTGTACTTATGTATTGTCTCTAATTGTTTTTTTTTGGCGGAGTCTTTAGGGTTAGAAATAAAATTATGTCATCATTAAATAGTGGTAGCTTTACTTCTTTCTTCCCAGTCTGGGTGCTTTTTGTTTCTTCTTCTTGCCTAATTGTTCTGGCTGAGACTTCTGGTTACACATTGAATAACTGTGGTGAGTATGAGCATCCTTGTCTTGTTCCCGATCTTAGAGGAAAAGCTTCCAGTTTTTCACCTTTGAGTATGATGTTAGCTGAGGGTATGTTATATATTGCCTTTATTATGTTGAGTTACTTTCCTTCTATAACCATGTTAGTGTTTTTTCATAAATGTTAGTGTATCTTGCCAAATGCTTTTCTGCATTTCTTGAGATGATCATATGATTTTCATCTTTCATTTTGTTACTGTGGTATATCATATTTATTGGTGTGTGACTGTGGAAGCGTTCTTGAGTCCCTGGAATAAATCCTATTTGATCGTGATATATGATCCTTTTAATATGTTGCTGTATTCAATTTGCTCATATTTTGTTTAGGATTTTTACATCTTTATTCATGAAAGATACTGGTCTGTAATTTTTGTGTGTGTGATGTCCTTGCCTGGTTTTGGTATCAGAGTAATGTTGGCCTCATAAAATGAGTTGAGAAGTATTCCTTCCTCTTCAATTTTTTAGAAGGAATTGAGAAGGATTGTATTAAATCTTTGAATATTTGGTAGTATTCATTGATGATGCCATCTGGTTCTGGACTTTTGTTTTTTAGGTGGCCTTTGATTATTTCTATTTCAATTTCATTACTAGTGATGGGTCTATTTAGGTTTTTCAGTTCTTCATGATTTAGTATAGGAAGGTTGTATGCATCTAAGAATTTGTCAGTTTCTTCTAGGTTATTCAATTTGGTGGCATTTAGCCTTACACAATATTCTTGTATAACCCTTTGTATTTCTGTGGTGTTCAATGTAACTTCTCCTGCTTTATTTCTGATTTTATTTGAGTCTTCTCTCTTTTTTTCTTAGTGAGTCTAGCTAGAGGTTTGTCAATTTTATCTTTTCATAGAATGCTCTGCTCAGATTCCTACTTCAGAACCAATATGTTCATTCTCCAGTTGCCAGAAGTACTGGGTGCTGACAATTTAACTCTGGGTCCTTTTTCTGGAATTGTCCTCAGCTGACAAGAGATATTTTGCCTAATTTTATGTTCCTCGGCTTGTACCCAGTGACTAGCAGATAGTGGGGTATAAAGGTCCAGGCCCTCGTCTCATTTCAGGAAAACTGTGGAGGTTGAGGTGGGGGTGGTGGTGCTGAGGCTTCTGTCTCACCTGCGGAGCAGGTCAGCATCAACCACAGCTCAATCCTGCTGCTTTCACTCCTCCAGGGTTGTTTCGAAAGCTTCCTCGTGCAAGTCTTTGCCTCGGAGTCAGTGTCTTGAGGAATCTAACCTAAGACATTATTAGGACAATTCAAATGAGCTAAATCCTCCCTCTTTGATCAGCAGAGAGAATGGTACGGCAAGCTCCATGAACCCATCTCTCATCGTTTTCAACATTTGGCCAGTCTTATTTCTCTTTCCCCCTATATTTTGGGTGTAGGAAGGGTTGGCACTGCAGTATTTTGAAAGCGAGTCCCAGACATCATATTATTTTGCCTGGAAATACTTCCCTACAAAAGATATTTGAAAACCTAATCTCCATGCCATTATTATACCTAACAAAATGAAGTTTCTTATATCATGTTATATCTAATTCATAATCAAAGTTTTCTGAATGTTTCAAAATTGTTCTAATAAGGATCCCAAATGAAGTTTCCACATTTAATTAGATTGTTTTCTCTCCTAAGTGTTATTTACTCTGTAACTTACTTTTCCACCCCATGCCATTGATTTGTTAAACTAGGTCAGTTGTCTTGTGGAATGTCCCATATTTTGGATTTGACTGATTACTTCCTCTTGGCGTCCTTTTAACTTATTCTCCAGAGGAAACTACTTTGAACAGTTTCTGTTTTTAGCTTTTTTTGTGATTACCTTGAAATTTCTGAATGTGCTATTTCTTCATTTAGATATCCTGATGAGTGCAAATTTAGCTGTCTTCTTCTGTTTCTCTCCTCCCAAGATAATTTTGTCATTAATCTCTGCTTTACCTACCGTTGCCTCTTTGATTTCAGACAGTATCCTGGAGCCTCTATCTGTTATTTCACCAACCAAGAGAGCATCTCTTGTGGAGGGCCTTTTTAGCTCAGACGGTCCCCTTCGCCTGCTCTTTGTTCCCTTGTTCTTCCCAACCTCTGTCAGCAGCAACTTTAGTTTTCTGTGCTCCCGGTGGATGACATACTCTCTTCTGTAATCACCATTCAGTCTTCTGTGATCTGTCTGTGAGTTTATTCCAAAACTGTAAAAACTAATAAATGACTATTTTATGTGCCTGTGGCTTTTCAGATTTAGCTCCCTGCAGAGCCAAAAACTACCCTTTGGTTTCCTCTTTTTGGGGTCAGTGTAAGAACCCCTGTATTTAGTTGCAAGAGAATGTCTCTTGTGTTGCTATGTCTCTAAAACATATTCTGCATTTTTTTACATTCTTGCCAATTGTAAATCACATTGCATTTTAACTTGCCTTTTATTTGGTCCACATCAGGAATGATATATATGGGCGTGTGGTTTGAATGGACCATCCCAGCCTCAGCCTACATAAGGACAATTTTTGAGCAATGATAGAGGAACAGAGCTAATATTTTCAAAATATAAAGAACAGTCCCTTATGAATGGGAAGTGAGCCTGGAGCAGTCCATTTAAACCACATAATGGAAGCCTTGACTAACAGGCCAAGCAGTTTGAACTCTGTAGGTCCTAGGGGGTCTTGGGGATTTTTAGCAATGTACTTGGGCTTAAGCCTTCATGGAAGTAATCTCCCAAACAGGGTGACCCACTAGGGCAGGGTGACTCCAGAATACCATTGCTCACCCCAAAAGTGCCCAAGTACTTTGGGGTGAGTAAGGGAACTAGGTGGACAGAAGGCCCCAAAGGGCCTCCAAAGAATCCACAGATGGCTCCATGGATTTGGACATGTAATGCCATGTAGTCACTCTCATAGTATTATACAAATTTTTCTATGGCCCTAAAAATCCCTGTGCTCTACCTATTTATCCCTCTCTTCTTCCTCCTAGTATTTGTAATTTTTAAGATTTTTGAGGTCTATAGTCAAATTACTCTATAAAATGTTTGTATCCAAATATCAGCAGTGTGTGAAAGTCCCTATTTTGGCATATCATCAATAATAATAAAATTATTATTTTTTATTTTAGGAAAATTGATCTCATTTATATTAGAAAAATACAAATAAGATATGTATTAGAACAAATACAAATAAATACAAAAAAGAGAGTGAGGACTCTTGGTTTCAATGACATAGATTTAATACAAGCCAGCTTAAGCAAAATAGGGGATTTATTGTCTCATTCATCTGGATGCTGGCCTCCTTGGCTGACTTGATTCAGGAATTCAATCGATGTCAGAGAATGTGACATTCTTATTCTTCTATTGCAGGTTTCTGTTTTGTTTTGTTTTTTAAGGAGGAAGAGATGGGTGCAGGCAGCTCTAGGCTTATGTAATTTCAGTTCAGGAAGCTTCCTTGATTTAATTCTACATTTATCAGAGCCCATGGTAGAAACCCAGCTGCAGCTGACTTAAGCAAAATATGTGAATAAATTGGCTCACGAAACTGAAAAATCTAGGGAAGAGCATTTACTTTCAGGAATAGCTAGATCTACATGCTCAAACAATGTCATCAGAACTTGATTTTTATCTTTTGGCTGGTTCACCTCCTTTTAGTCTTTATTCTCAGGCAAGCTTTCTCCACCAGTAAGCAAAATGGTTCCTGGCAGCCCAGGCTTAAAAATGACACAGAAGTCTCATGAGCCTTTAAGGAAGTACCTCATTCTGATGGTTCCAGCAAAGGATGTAAGGAACCTTTGTCCGGCCTGGCTTAGACACCGTGTTCATCCCAATCGCTGTAGTGGAGTAGCCACGGAAGTCTGGAGTGTGTCAGGGCCCTTCTTCCTTCGTGGGAAAAATAAAATAAAAAATAAAAGCTCTGCTTATCTTTTTTAGCAGATGATGTCTTAACCTTCTCACCTTCACACAGTTAAAGGCTTCATAAATGTCCCAAGGGCAAACGCCAAAGGAAATATAAGGCTCACTTCTGCAGTGCTCGCTGCGTTTTTCTCCAACTGCAATTTTTGTTCCCCTGCACCTGTAGAACTGATGAGAGCTCTGACCTGCCTTACCTGCTGCAAGTTAGCAGGAGGGTTTGTGGATTTTATTTTCTCGTTGAAGGATTAGTCATGGTCCTCAGATGAGTAAAGGACATAAAGGAAGTGAGAGAGTTGAGGTGATGAGGCGTAATGACATAGTCTTCAAAGACTTGCTTCAGTTTAGCTTGTAACAGGCAAGCCAGCCGCTGAGGACAGCCATCAAAACTGGCGAGAGCTGCGATGCCAGCGGCAGCAGCCCTATTTGCTTATCCAGGAGTGTGGTTGCCTACGCATCGCCCTAGAACTCAGTCGCAACAGTGCCCCTGTGCACGACTTCTGAGATTGTGTCGTCTCTGGAGGCGGCGCAGTTGCGCCGTTGCGCATGAACCACTGGACCAGAGTGGGAAATGCCAGGAAGCCGTCAGCACAGCCATGCCCAAGAATAAGGGTAAAGGAGGTAAAAACAGGCGGAGAGGTAAGAATGAGAATGAATCTGAAAAAAGAGAATTAGTCTTTAAAGAAGACGGACAAGAGTATGCTCAGGTCATCAAAATGTTGGGGAATGGACGATTAGAAGCAATGTGCTTTGATGGTGTAAAGAGGTTATGCCATATCAGAGGAAAATTGAGAAAAAAGGTTTGGATAAATACTTCAGACATTATATTGGTTGGTCTGCGAGACTATCAGGATAACAAAGCTGATGTGATTTTAAAGTACAATGCGGATGAAGCTAGAAGTCTGAAAGCATATGGTGAGCTGCCAGAACATGCTAAAATCAATGAAACAGATACATTTGGTCCTGGAGATGATGAAATCCAGTTTGATGATATTGGAGATGATGATGAAGACATTGATGATCTTGTTGAAGCTCTGAAACTGTAATACACTTCAAAGGCCTTATTAAAATGGAGACCTGTTATTGATATCTAAATTGAACTTAAAGTTTTTGAGTATTATTCTACAGTTTGGATTTTGGCCATCACCTGTTAAGAAGACTAAAACTTCACATGAATGCAGTTTGTTAAGGCATACCTATTTATTTTTATTATTTTAAAGTATTTGTATATTTCTTTTTTAAAAGTATATTTTATCGATTATGCTATTACAATTGTCCCAATTTTTTCCCCTTTGTCCCCCTCCACCAAGTACCCTCTTACTTTCAGCAATCCCCCCCTTAGTTCATGTCCATGGGTCATGCATTTAAGTTCTTTGGCTACTTCATTTCCTATACTGTTCTTAACCTTCCACTGTCTATTTGGTACCTACCATACTGCTCAGGCCCTGTACATTTTCCCCCATTCTCCCCTTTCCCCCTCCCTGCTGATGACCCTCCATGTGATTTGCATTTCTATGATTCTGTTCCTGTTCTAGTTGTTTGCTTAGTTTTTTTTGTTTTTTAGATTCAGTTTTTGACAGTTGTGAGTGTATTGTTGTTTTAGTTCATAGTTTTGATCTTCTTTTTCTTAAGTACCTTTAACATTCCATATAATAAGAGATTGAGGATGATGAACTCTTTTAGCTTTACCTTGTTTGGGAAGCATTTTATCTGCCCTTCCATTCTACATGATAGCTTTGCTGGGTAGAGTAATCTTGGATGTATGTCCTTGCTTTTCATCTCTTTGAATATTTCTTGCTAGTCTCTTCTTGCCTGCAAAATTTCTTTTGAGAAATCAGGTATTAGTCTTATGGAAACTCCTTTGTAGGTAACTCTGCCTTTCTCTTGCCGCTTTTAAGATTCTTTGACTTTAACCTTTGTATTTTAATTATGATGTGTCTTGGTGTGATCCTCTTTTGGTCTAACTTGTTTGGGACTCTCTGTGCTTCCTGGATTTATATGTCTATTTTCTTCACCAAATTAGGGAAGTTTTCTTTCATTATTTTTTCAAATAAGTTTTCAATTTCTTGCTCTTCCTTTTCTTCTTCTGGCACTCCTATGATTCAGAGGTTGGCGTGTTTGGTAATGTGCCAGAGTCTTCTTATTCTCTCCTTAATTTTTTTTGAATTCTTGTTTGTTCATTTTGTACTGGTTGACTTTATTTCTTCCTTATGTTCCAAATCATTGATTTAAACCCCAGCTTCCTTCCCTTCACTGTTGGTTCCCTGTGGTTTTTTCTTTATTTCACTTAGTGTAGCCTTCATTTCTTCCCTATGCATTTGCTGTACTCAACAAGTTTTCTGAGCATCCTTATTATCAGTGTTTTGAACTCTGCATCTGATAAGTTGACTATCTCCATTTCGTTTAATTCTTTTTCTGGAGTTTTGATCTGTTCTTTCATTTGGGCCATACTTCTTTGTCTCCTTAATTTGACTGCCTTCCTGTGTTTGTTTCTGTGTATTAGGTAGAGCTGCTTTGACTCCCTGACTTGACAGGCCTGTTACCTTGTAAGGGGCAGAATCTTAAGTATTCACCAGGGCAGGAGAACCATTTCATCACTTTGTAGCACTGTATGTGGGAAAGGGTTCAGAGAGGGAACGATGCTGCTTGTTTGGCTTTCACCTCTTTCCCAGTCACTTGTGGGCAGGGTGGGCGGGGCGGGGGGGGGATGGAGACAACTGTACTTGAACAACAATAAAAAAAAAGATTCATCAAATAGGTTTTGAAACATCACCTTTTTTTTCTCTAGAGGTTTTTCTTTTCCCAGCAGAGAAAATTAATGTGAAGGAGATACATCTTTACCTGGTTTTAATAATATATATAACAAATATAAAGGAGAATAATTCTTCATAGGGTTCTATCTCACATTGCTATAATTTTACCTCCTAACTGAAAACTCTGGAGTTAGAATCTGAGGCCAGAATATGTACATTATTAACTCTAAGAATAAGAAGTAAATGTGCCCAAATGTGGCGGGGGAAACTGGATGAAACCAAACCAAACCAAAACTCCAAGTATTTGAAGAAACTGGAAAGGAACCAAAGCATCCAGGACTTGATGTGCTGAGATCTGGGAGAGAAGGGAAATGCCCTGAAGTGAGTTGAACAGTGTGTGCTGATTTGTCCCCCACTCAGGAGATTCCCTGACATGTAGCAGAGGGCAGAGAGCCCAAGCACTTTTCACTGCCTTCCGCTGTACTTAGAACAGAGACCGGACTCCTTACCGGGGCTTGTGTATAAGCCTGGCACGTCTGTTTCTTCTTGCCTGGACTGAAAGCTGCATTAATATCACCTTCCCCCTTTTAACAATGCTTCGGCCACAATGGCCTTCTTTCAATTCCTCCTGTTTGGGAAGCTCAGGCATTCTCTATGAACTTCTCTGTGCCTGGATTAAATTCTCCCACTTTTCTTCCTGGCTCATTCCTATACGTCTTTCAGATGTTACTTCCTCAGGGACCTTCCATGACAATCTCTCTATGCTCTATCCCACCCTGTCTCTAAATTAGACACCACCTTCTCTTCAGTACCTACACATACCACGCACTAAGCACTGAAATAATATTTACTGAATGAGTGAGCAGAAGGTAGAGTGGTGAAAACAAATCCAAATTTTACCTGGGTGACTTTGGGCAATCCTTTAAATGTTTGGAGGCAGTTTTCTTGCTTCTAAAATATAGATAGCATAGGGAGCTATATCTATGTGATATATCTATCTGTATCTATGTGAACCTGCCCTAATTAGTTCACAGGGTTACTATGAATGTCAAATGAGAGCTGGTATACAAAAGTGTCTATAATTGTAAAATGCGACTACAAGTATAAGTTAGTGTACCATTCACTGACACAAAAGGAAACCACATATATTCAATCAGCAAAATATGTTGAAAGTACTGAATTAGTGACACTATTACAATCATTATTGTCAACCTTTTTAAGCCAAGATTTTTATAAATGGAAGTGAAAAGTAAATAATTCTAGATGAAATCTTTCCATAATCCAAAAAGTTTTTTATAGCCATGTAGTCATTTTATTTATAGAATAAGATATCTCTAAAACCCATGACCTTTAAAGAAGGCTAATTTTAAAGGATGTAGATGAGTATTCTGTAACCCATGATGCCTACTACGTAGTAGGAGTTCAATCAACATTTGCTGAATGAATTTTCTTGTGTTGCATTTCCTATCCCATCCTTATTTAACAGTAACTGATGGTCAGTCAAGATAACTTTGTATTTAGGTAATCTGTTGAGTGAAGAGCCCTAACACTTCAATCACTTACCATTTAAGGGCTTAGCATGCACCTCAAAGTACATATATTTTTGTATATAAGTAACCAATTATGCCACTGGAGCTCCTAGTATGCATATTTTCTCAGTATGACACTGAAATAAGAGAAAATGTAGGCAGTACTGGCAACATTCCTGGAAAATGGAATAGTGATCACATTCACATGACCTGCCTTGCCTTGAATAGTTGGTAGGTGGCAGCAATGGACCAGAAATTATGGTTCATTTAAACAGGGCATGGAAAGGGTTATTTTGAATGTTAGTATTTCATTATTTTTTTCAAAATAAAACAGAGCTGCAATGCAAGCAAACAAAAATAAATAAGCATGATGTAACTGATTTACAGAATATGTTACCTAAGCTTTTATGCTCTAGTTTCTTGACAAAAACTTACTTTTCAAAACTCTAGGCTTAGTTTTATTACTATTTTTAGCTTAGTTTTTTTTTTTTTTCTTAAAATCTTTCTTTTCTTTGTAAGCACTGAACATTTTATGGCTCCTTTATTGACAGTAGGAGATGAGATATGTGAACTTTCACTTTGTTTAAGCTTTGGTTTACTCTGATTGGGAAGATTTTGCCCTGAGGCATTGCATTGGCCAAGAATGGGTTATAGAAAAAAATAATCCATTCTAGACAGTTTACACAGAATTGGATTTAATATTTAGTATTAAATGGCTTGTGCAGTTATTGTAGAAGCTGATGGAAGAGTCCCTAGGTCAGTGGTTCTCAACTTTAGCTTCTAGTATCACAGGCATCTGGGTTGCTTTCAAGAATATTGATTCTGGAATTTACATTTTGAATCAAAACCTTTGGGCATGTATATGTGTACAGTTAAGAAGCTCCCCTGGTGATTCCAGTGTACAGCCAGAGTTGATCAACTCTCACTGCAGAACTGGGCCACCAAGGGAGCTACTGATTCTTCTTCAATCACAATGTGCGGAATTGGGAAGCTGCTGGTTTAGAACTATGTCTCCCCTGCTGCCATTAGGAAGCTCCCATGGTCTGCAAACTGCCACCTCCAGAAAGTTGCCACTCCAGAACCCACCACAACTGCCAGTATTAACATATTAACTCATAAAGCAATGTGCACCCTGCCTCTTGGTGCCCAAGAAGCTACAGTCACAGTTACCTCAACTATCAATGCCAAAGAAAAAAAACTACGCTCCACCATAACTGTGCTATCACAGAACGAGCAACAGATAGCTCTGCCTGACTCACGCTCTCCCTCCACATGTCCTTCTGATGGCACAATCTCTATCACGTAACAAATCCTAATTGCAGAAATGTCTGGGGTATGTAGCTTTAAACTCTCCAACCCTAAAGAACAAGGAAAGGAAGCTAGAAAGAGATTTATATGGATGTTTTAAGTTTATACCAATCCAGTTTTCCAACAAAGCCATCATGAAATAGATGAGCAGTAGTTGTTTTTTTTATTTCCTGATTTTTCAGGGAAGACTGATTGAGCTGAAAGTCTGTTCCCATCATCCTTTATAAACCTTTGAGTCCCAGAACAAGTCAAGCTTTTCACTTCACCCTATCTTTTCAGAAGTCACTTTGGTTACAATTCAGTTAATTTTGAATGATTTAATTTTATTTCATTCTCCTGCTTCCACTTTTGCTGCTATTTCTCAGGTACTCTACAAGTTGATTTCTTAATGGGATTTAAGAGAATTTTTTACAAAATAGTTACCAATTATCCAATATTTGATCACTCTATAAGGTT